TCGCTCCTTTGGATATCTTTGACATTATTCTTGGGCAGGAATTCTTCCAGCGCTGCCACACGATGATCGACCCCTACCTCCAACGACTCCTTGTCATGGAGCGGGAAGGGTCGTGCATGGTACCTCTAGTCAAGGTACCGAAAAAGGAAGGACATGCCCTCTTATCGGCCATGCAGATTGTGAAGGGCCTGAAGAAAGGAGACCCGACGTTCCTAGCTACCATTGCAAGTTTGGGAGAAGACAATGGTGCTAAGGGGACCTTGCCACCGATTATAGAGAAGGTCCTTGAAGAGAACAAGGACGTGATGCCAGACGAGCTGCCGAAGACTCTACCTCCAAGGCGTGAGGTAGACCACAAGATAGAGCTGGAGGTGGGAGCCAAACCGCCCGCACATGCACCTTACCGCATGGCTCCACCTGAGTTAGAGGAGCTACGGAAGCAGCTGAGGGAGCTCCTCGAGGCCGGTCACATCCGTCCATCCAAGGCACCTTATGGCACACCGGTACTGTTCCAGAAGAAGAAGGATGGATCCTTACGTTTATGCATCGACTATCGGGCGCTCAACAAGGTAACTATTAAAAATAAATACCCTATCCCGCTTATTGCAGATTTGTTCGATAGACTTGGGCAGGCCAAGTATTTCACCAAGGTGGATCTCAGAAAAGGCTACTACCAAGTGCGCATCGCGGAAGGGGATGAACCAAAGACGGCGTGCGTGACCAGATACGGAGCGTTCGAGTGGTTGGTGATGCCTTTTGGCTTAACCAACGCACCCGCCACTTTCTGCACGTTGATGAACAAGATCTTCCATCCCTACTTGGATCAGTTCGTAGTGGTCTACTTGGACGACATTGTCATCTACAGTAACACCTTGGAGGAGCACGTGGAGCATCTAAGGAAGGTCTTCCAAGTCTTACGGGAGAACCAGCTATACATCAAGCGGGAAAAGTGCGAGTTTGCCCAAAATGAAGTGCATTTCCTGGGCCATATCATCAGCCAGGGCAAACTACGGATGGACGAGGCCAAGATACGGGCAATCCAAGAATGGGAGGTGCCGACTAAAGTGACCGAGCTACGTTCGTTCCTTGGACTTGCCAACTACTACCGCAGGTTCATAAAAGGTTACTCCGCAAAAGCCGCTCCACTAACCGAATTGTTGAAGAAAAATAAGCCGTGGGTTTGGAGCACGGAGTGCCAGCAAGCCTTCGAAGGTCTCAAGAACGCAGTGACAGAAGAACCGGTCTTGACGCTGCCCGACTTTTCAAAGACCTTCGAGGTACACACGGATGCTTCGGACTTTGCTATTGGGGGAGTCCTGATGCAGGATCGGCACCCAATAGCATTTGAGAGCCGCAAATTGAACGAGACCGAACGGCGCTATACAGTGCAAGAATACACAGTCCAGGAGAAAGAGATGACAGCCATTGTGCATTGCCTGCGCACGTGGAGACACTACCTACTAGGCTCCAAGTTCATAGTCAAGACAGACAACGTGGCCACCAGCTATTTTCAGTCACAGAAAAAGATCACCCCGAAACAAGCCAGGTGGCAGGACTTTCTAGCCGAGTTTGACTACACCTTGGAGTACAAGCCAGGAAAAGGCAATGTCGTGGCCGACGCGCTAAGTAGGAAGGCCGAACTTGCTGCCATCACAACGGTCCATTGTGATATTCAAGATGCAATCAGGTATGACATGCAACATGATCCCGAGGCCAAGAAGCTGATGGAGTTAGTTGCCCAAGGCAAGACAAGGCGTTTTTGGGTGGAAGATGGCCTTTTACTCACGTCTGATCGAGGCTATCTATTTCTGGCCACGTATGCGGGACGACATAGAGTGCTACGTGCAGACTTGTCTTGTGTGCCAACAAGACAAGGTGGAGCAAAGGCACCCGGGAGGACTACTGGAGCCACTACCCGTAGCAGAACGCCCATGGGAAAGCGTGACCATGGACTTCATCACTTCCCTACCTAAGTCCGACGGGTATGGGACTATCATGGTCGTGGTGGACAGGTTTTCAAAGTATGCTACCTTCATACCCGCCACAGCCGGATGCACCGCGAAGGAGGCCGCTCGGTTGTTCTTCAGGAACGTAGTGAAGTATTGGGGGCTGCCAAGACACATCATTAGCGACCGAGACCCCCGCTTTACTGGAAACTTTTGGAGGGAGCTGTTCGAGATACTTGGCACAAAACTACATTTCTCCACGAGTTTCCACCCGCAGACAGACGGCCAGACCGAACGCGTCAACGCCCTATTGGAGTGCTACCTGAGGCACTATGTCAGTGCGCACCAAAAGGATTGGGCAAGACTCCTAGATATGGCGCAGTTTTCATATAACTTACAAAGGAGCGAGTCCACCGGGCGCACTCCGTTTGAGTTAGCGACAGGCCAACAACCCCAAACTCCGCATTCTTTACCGGCTGCTTTCGAAGGGAAGAGTTTGGGAGCTTACCATTTGGCCAAAGGATGGGAAGAACAGCTTGACACTGCCAAGTCCTACTTGGACAAGGCAGCAAGCAAGATGAAGAAGTTTGCCGACCGTAAGAGGCGTCCCACAGACTATAGAGAAGGCGACATGGTCTTGGTGAAGTTCAATCCGAGGCAATTCAAGGCACTAAGGAGCGTTCATCAAAACTTAGTGCGAAAATATGAGGGTCCATTCCGAATCATTGCCAAGGTGGGCAAGATCTCATACAAGGTGGAGTTGCCTCCACATTTCAAAATCCATCCGGTGTTTCACGCAAGCGTCCTCAAGCCCTACTATGAGGACAAGGAAGACACTAGCCGGAACCAACCCCGAAGGGCCCCCATTACTGTCACTGCCTCGCACGACCGGGAGATTGAGGCAATAATAGACTATCAAGCCAAGCGGAAACGAGGTCAACAAGCCAGCGCCATGTTCCTTGTGCATTGGAAGGGACAATCACCGGAGGAGGCCACATGGGAGAAATATGAAGACTTGTGGCAGTTCAAAGACCAAATCCGGGAATTTTTGCAACAATGCGCCGCGGTCGTCGCATCATCAGGTGGGGGAGCGTGTGACGTCCCGCCATCAACATAGGCAAATTTTACAGCAAAGAAGGCATAGAGGTTTCTAGAATAGGCTAGATAACCTTAGATACTTCAAGAAAACTTTAGAAAAGTGTAGAATTCTCTAGATAGGGGCCAAAGTGTAGATAACTTAGGGACTTCCCATGTAAATATTAATTACACTTTAGCCTTGGAGAGTAGTATAAATAGAGGTGCCACCATTTGCAAAGGCACCAAGCAAGTTGTAGCAATCTTCCAAAGCCTAATACAAAGCCTTCTTCAAAAAGCTCTCTCTTTGTTCTTTCCAAAACTTTCCTTAAACATTCTCTTAGCAAACCAAGTCCTAAAGGCTTCCTTGAGTTTACAAGAAGCTTGAAAGATTAGTGAGTAAACCGTCAAGGGCTGCACGGATCTTTAGCCAACACTCTAAGTCCGTGACACTTGGCTATGGAAGTTCTGAATGGTTGCTATCACATCCGTCTTCACCACCTCCCAACACTGTATGAAAAATGCCATAGTGAAACCATCTGGGCCAAGAGCCTTATCTCCTGCACAAGCAAACACACATTCTTTGATCTCTTGTTCTCCAAACTGACTTTGCAACATTACATTATCTTCTTCATTCAAAGTAGCTTGATCTGTGGGGCTGAACTGAGGTCTCCAGTGTTCATTCTCTTTGTAGAGGTTTTGGTAGAAATCTATGATCTCCTCCCTGATCATTGCTGGTTCTGATACATTAGCTCCATTGATCAAAAGACTATCAATGCTGTTGTATCTCTTGTGGCAGTTTTGATCAAAAGACTATCAATGCTGTTGTATCTCTTGTGGCAGTTTTGATCAAAAGACTATCAATGCTGTTGTATCTCTTGTGGCAGTTTTGATCAAAAGACTATCAATGCTGTTGTATCTCTTGTGGCAGTTTTGATCAAAAGACTATCAATGCTGTTGTATCTCTTGTGGCAGTTTTGATCAAAAGACTATCAATGCTGTTGTATCTCTTGTGGCAGTTTTGATCAAAAGACTATCAATGCTGTTGTATCTCTTGTGGCAGTTTTGATCAAAAGACTATCAATGCTGTTGTATCTCTTGTGGCAGTTTTGATCAAAAGACTATCAATGCTGTTGTATCTCTTGTGGCAGTTTTGATCAAAAGACTATCAATGCTGTTGTATCTCTTGTGGCAGTTTTGATCAAAAGACTATCAATGCTGTTGTATCTCTTGTGGCAGTTTTGATCAAAAGACTATCAATGCTGTTGTATCTCTTGTGGCAGTTTTGATCAAAAGACTATCAATGCTGTTGTATCTCTTGTGGCAGTTTTGATCAAAAGACTATCAATGCTGTTGTATCTCTTGTGGCAGTTTGCTGTTCTGTGGAAGAATTTTGTATTTTTATCCCCCTCTTTCAGCCATATAGCCCTGGATCTTTGGGGGATTTGGAGACAATGTTCTTGATTTGGGTATTATCAAAATCATTTTTTTGAAAGAAATCGACTACAAATTCTGGGTTTTTTGAGGGTTTCAAGCGGATTAATTTTGGGTTTTTTGAGGGCTTCAAGTATTAAAGATATTAGATGTGGTGCTCTGTCAAACCTCAACCATTAGGTTATACATGAGAATTTATCCAAAACAAATCCTAATGCCATCTCATTGTATTATTCTAGCATTCCCGATGCAAATCCAGATTTAGTCAGAACCAACGTAGGTACCGCACACGAGGTGTGAAGCCAAAAAGGAACTTAAAGAATCTGTGTCCCTCTATTACCTAGCTGTTACTAAGTCTTGTAAGGCAAAAGAATTGTGCAACTCCATCTTCAACTAAGAGTAATGCAGACTCAGTTGCTACAATAAACCTCTTTACATGCTGCAACTAGTTAGTTGTTGAATCTGCAGTCTAGGTAGAGTCCATAAACAAGCACTCTGCCCAGAAGAAAAGTTTAGAAAAAACGGAGAGCAAACAATAACCAGAAGATTCAATGAGTCATATACAGCGAAAACAAGATTGTTCAATTCATGCTTAGCCCAAAACTCAAAAGGATCAAACACATAAAAGCAGGATGGACAGAGAAAATGAAATTTACCACACTGCAGGGGAACTAATAGTTGTGACTTCAATAGAAAACAGGAAAGACCTGAAGAAACAAAATTCATTTGACTGAAAGATCATGAGTACGAACCATAAAGATGAAAATCGCACCTCATTTGACTGATCATCATGACTCTAACGGCTCACACATGTCACATATGACTCATATAGATTAGGTATCTCATCCTTGTAAGGAAGCACGAATTCTGAACGAAACATAGGTTCAGATATATACATAGTTCGAGAAAAAGATACTTTCTGATTCAGCTTCTTCTCCTCTAAAACTTTCAGTACTTGATTTCTAGGAATCACTCTCTTGTCCAGGCTAAGCATTAGAAGCGCAGGATTACTAATCAAGTATTCTGGTTTGCATCCGAGTACCCTAGTGAAAACGTCCAAAGCTCGCAGAATTCTAGCTTCTGACATAGCCAAACAAAGAGGTTGCTTTCTGAACACAGTCAATATATCCTGATCACACCATCCACAACTCCTGAAAACTCCCATTTTGTTTTCCACTGTTGACTTACCTAGTGCGATAACTGCAAGCCTCCGAACATGAACATTCCAGATGTGGGAGAAATCTGTAAATCCTTTTCAGCTTTGTGCAATATCTCCTCTAGCCACTCGAATTTTTGCAGAAGTATACGTGGTTTCTGAAGTATAAGTTTCTCGATTTGGGCATTTGAAAAACCAAAATTTTGCAACAACAATATTTTGGGTTCAAATCTTTTTGGACCATTCACAGCAAGTAAATAAGGTGACCTCTTTATAAGTTTAACCAAACTTTCCTCATTACTAACTAGTTTCCTTAGAAAATCCAAATTAGACCTCAAATGAGAACCTACTGCATTATACAAAGCTTTTCCGTCTGCTAGGAAGAGATCAACTAGGTCAGATCCAGATACCCTCATTTCTCGCAGACACTGAAACTTGGGTTTAAGGGTTCTGTTTATATCAGAAAAAAACAGTCTCGGTGTAATAGAAACTAATTTCTTGATCTCTGTCCGTTCTAAACCCATCTCTTGGAAGAATTTGATTACCAAATCAGGATTCTTAGGTGCTTTCACGCTGTTCAACTTGGCAGCTGCAGCATTTGCTTCATATCTGGAGAATCCCCGTGATTTGATGAAGTAGTACGACAAGAGAGGGTTCTGAGAGTGAACAGTCGCACTTGTTGAATAGCAAAACTGAGACCATGATCCACTAATGAAAAAAACTGCCAAATGCCAATGTACCAAAACTTAAAACATTTAAGAAGCACAGTTTCATTAGACAACATTGCACAAACATTGATAAATGACAATGACAATAATATAATATAAACAAGCTGTTTTAGACCATGAAACAAGGGATAATGTATTCGAACATCACTTTTTACTTGGAGAGAACCAGCATGTATCTCCTTGAACCATATTTATGTGAGATCAAACTTCACAACAAGAAAGGTTTCATGAGCAATAAATGATACAGAATTTATACCAATCAAAAAATAATAATATATATAGTTTTTTTGTTTTTTTTTTTATGACAAGGGAAACCCGCAGCCGCTACCCTTTGGGTGCGCGCAGGTAAAACCCCCGCTCTTATGCAATAGCTCGCAAACCATTGGAAAAAAATTCTGAACACAAAATTGATGAAACATTTAAAATGTAGACGTGCAATACACATTGTTAAAAATGTAAAAATTGCATTACAAAGTGATGAAGCATAAGGCATACATGGCAGTTCAAGAACATTGATGGCTTACTCACAGAAATTAACTTGTGCAAGCTTTTGAGAGTCAATTACACTGAACTCCTCTCTAGAGCGAAAATATTCTAGGGACCTCCCTTTAAAGAATTACAAGAACCCCCACATGAATTACAGTGTTGAACAACAAAGTATCGTATTACTTGCAAAAATTTAAACTCCCTTTCTTTTACTTTTAAACTTTTCTGTTTACTGAAATAAGAAGCATTTAAGTCAACGTGTTACAAGGAGTATTTAAATAACAGGCAAATATTACTAAAAACAAATCATTTAAAGTTGTGAAATTACAATGAGTGTATTAAATATTATTCCACAACAGAGAACTCAAAGTGAATTTCGGATAATTTGACTTTCTATTCTCTTATATATTTTTCTTTTACATTTGTAGTCTGTCTAAGAATTTCTAGTGCTATTCTTCTTTTATAAAAAAGTAATATTGGAACTATATATTCTAAGACATGAACAGTAAATGTTAAAATAGTTCTTGGTAATAACAAAAGCAATAGAAGACACAAAACAAAAGAGAAAACAAAAAAGGGGACAATAGAAGGCACTGGCAGGCTCACTATCCATGGAGTTCAAATGGTGCACAACTTGCCCCTGTGAGTTTCTCGGTTATGGAAAAAATAAAGTTTAAAATTCTCATGCTTTCAACAGTGTTACTCATCAATTTATTTTTGGTAAGGTTTCTACTAATATATTTAATTAGAGGACTTTTTCTAATCCAGAGGAAAGTAGTATACCTAACCCAACATAGTTTGCTTTGAATGGTTTACTTTAAGTCTGGCAGACACAAATTGTCAACAAGAAGCTGAAGATAAAGTATGAAATTCATTCTATGCATCATTTGGAAAGTGGCTTGAAAGGAATAGAAGATATATTCTAGGGGAAAAAAGCTTATATTTTTTGTCAAATATATATGCATCAGAATTTATTTTGTTGGTACAAAATGATTTTCGACTAACTGGACAGAGTTTATGGACTTGTTAGACTCCTTTATTATGAAGATTTACACAAGTCCCACTTTCTGTACTCTTTACGTACCTCCTTGGCACCCTGATATTTATAAAATTACCATACCATTTTTCTAAAAACAATGTAATAGCAAAGGCCAAGTTGTGATAGCATTTAAACAAATTATACACCACTTAAACGTCTAAATGTAGAATTAGCCAAATGAAGCTGAATATTCCAAAATATTACAACAGTTTAGACGAAGCAATAAAGGGTCCTAGGTTCCACAACAAAGACTCCAGCTTTAGAACAGTTGCTCACATGTTAATTTGATAATGACCAAGCGGTGAACCAGGAAGGTTATGTTCTAACATCATAATGAATGAAAAGGCGAATTCTACAGAGAAGCAACAATGAGGTGAACCACACTATGTGAAGGAAGTCACAAACAAAACATTTAATCACTCTTTTCTTGAATTATACATACATATAGTACAGAAAGGCAGAGTACATCCTGTATAAATCTGATTCTGTCAACCATATGACTTCTTTTCGTGTTCACCTCCTTTACACTCAATATTTTCAGCACTCTTTTGACTCAAATTTATAGTGAGTTTGATTCTCTTGGTATCATAGGATGAAAACATTTCAAGACTTCTTTTCCTTAAAAACTGAGAATTCCCTAACGTCAATAGACACATAGTTCCTAATAACATTTCAAATTTCTTCACTGCAGGGTGGTTAGAGAATTTTGGAACTTGTTTACTAGCTTCAGGGGCATAAGTTGGACCATGCCTGAAAGGGCAAGCCATGCAATAGAAAGCTGGAATAATGAAGGTAGTGGTAGTACAGACAAAAACAGATGGAGAATTGTCCCAGTGATTTGGTGGACCATATGGAAGGAGAGAAATTTGAGATGTTATGAGAGCATTAGTAGTCCTTCACATAGATTAAAATGAACTGCATTATCACTTCTTGCTATTGGTGCAGTTCTGAGTATGTAGATGATCCTATAGCTATTACAGATATTCTAGGTTCTTTGTAAGATGAAGTAGGATCTAGTTTAGATTTGTTGAGTATACTCAACTGTATGTAGCTTCATGATGTAAATTTGGGATCCCAGCACTAACTGAAGATTTATACACAAAACTATGCTTTGTTAATGACATTCTTCTTGCTTCATCAAAAAAAAAAAGATTTATACACAAAACTGCTACCTTTGTCAAAAAAAACATAGACACATAGTTCCAAACTCCGTGGAAAATAGGCCCATCCCTCTACCCAACTCAACTAAAATACCAGACTTTGACCACTGCCAAAGCACAGGGGCACATTCATTTCACTCTAGCTTTAACCACATTTTCTATCACCACTAAATACTTGTCAAAGAAAATCTAATTTAGGCATCACATTAGAATCTAAAGATTACACCCTTCACATGTCAAATCTTGATTTCAGGGTTACTGTACTGAGAATAGCAGCAAAATTTACATATAAATGAATTTATTTAAGAAAATTGTCGCATCACACTTCACATGGAAAAAACATTCCACCTTGACAAAAATTAAATAAATTATTAGTATTAGTTAAAGTTAAAGATTAAAGTATTATTATTCCCCCCAAAAATTATAAAATAAAATGTAAAATAGTGGAAAGAGAATGAAATGAAAAAAAGAATTAAACAAAGAAGAAAAGAGTGAGAGTAAAGAGCATATTGGTGGCATAGCTTCACCATAGTAACTCAATGAAGAATAAGAGGCAAAACAAGAGAGGGAGAACAGGGAGAAGAAGAGGAACATTCATGTCCACAACACACTCCAGTCACCTTGATCTGAATTCTAGTATGTTATCCACAAAATCTCCTTTTTGTTTTTGATAAATACTATGTAAATTTCTTTTATGGTTTCCTTAACTTTTCTTTTTCACTTTGACTATTTTGCTGTTTGTTCTGATCTTTCGCTATATACTATCTACTTAAATATTTAATGAATTGTATATTTTTGGCAGACATGTTTTTCCAGTTTAGTGTTAGATTGTATTCAAAATGATAATGATTCTCTCTGATTCTGGTCAATTCTACTTCATAAGTAAAGGTTCATCAATTGCGGGGTTGACTTAAATAACAGAAAGAAAGAAAGACCTACAAATTTACATTCACAAAAGTGGTAAATTACATTATTTAACATATTATGATTATTTAATGGTTTCTGAAAAGTTAAACTCCAAAGATGCAAAATAGAGGACATTGAACATGCACTATTCATCTCAAATAAGGGGTATGTACCATGAATGGTACTGAATGCTAAGCACCAAATCAGCTCACATACTAGAATTTAGTCTTTTACTTGGCACAAGATAAACATTATTTTCCTACAATCTGTAGTTGCCCCTAATACGAGTAAGATGGTCCTTTGTTCACTTTACCAATAATATAAGCTAGTGAGAGGTGAATGCTAAGGAGTAGAACAGTTCATAAAGAAGACAATTCCTAACAAAGACAAAGAATTTTAAATTTTAACAGTACAACAATAGCAAGTAAAACAGTTAGACATATTGCCACCGGAAAAGACAGGTGAATCAAGAATAGTGGACATCAAGAGCAAACATGGACATTATAATCCTTAATCATTGAATGGGTTAGTAACAGAGACATCCAAGTATGACACAACTAGAAAGGCCATTACCTGGATGCTTGCAGCCTGCTCCTTTTCGTTTCACTCAAAGTTAACACATTTAGAACTGGTACTCATCTTAACTTAAGCAGGAGATTGTGCTTTAAAGAGACTTCAAGCTTTAGACTTCCTTTTGTCAACGCTACCAGATGGAACGACCCAGGATATCTCACCTAATCAGGATATATCTCTCTTTTCAGATCTTGCCAGACTTCAAGGCCTTTAGGATGAGGATTTACATAAGTCTTCATGAATAATTTCTCTGAGGAAGCTATGATAGTGCTCAAAGACAATGTTGGGTCCACTTTTCCTTGATCTTTGAGCCAATTATACATTGAAAGCCTAATTGTGGTTCTTGGAATTGTGTAGTTTAGGTAGGATGGAAACGAAACTAAAGTAGACAGTGGAAGACCCAAATTATTCAATAGAAAATCAATCTTTGCCTCAAGTACCTCTTTCCTTTGATTGAGTATTTGTCGGATATATTTTCAGCACTGAAGCAACATGCTTTCGATCCAAACCAGCATTTACCAACAATCAAACCTCTCTTGGAGCTCCACCCCTTTCCCTCGAAATAATTTGAGAGCTTTCTCCATTCCACTCGAGTTCTCAGCAAAACCCAAATCCAAAAGGAACTTAGTTTTCATCATTTTGGATCTTAGCTCCTCCTCAGCTATTGGTAACCGTTCAACTTTGGCTCCACGAACCAAATTCCTCAAAAATTCTGGATTCTCCTTGATCACACTACAAAGCCGCTTCTTCCCTGTATTCAGGGTAGTTAACAAGCTTGTAGCTTTCTTCAAAACACACGAGCCTAGCAATGTAGGGTATGAATGAATAATAGTTCCAATCTCTAAGACAGGCATCTCAATTTCAATCAAGAACAGGTAGCATTGCCTCATATTGAAAACAAATGTGGTTATTGGAATTTGTGGCAAGTGTAGAAATACATCAAGTAATTTGGGTATCTGAATACCAAATTTCAACCAGAATCCAATTAGCGAAAATGTAGTACGACCGGAACAATCAAACAGAAGACCAGGAACTTGACAAATTAATTTTCCTAATTGTTGATCAGTCAAGCCCAACCCGTTCAAGAAGCATATGAGCTCGAATAAGTGGCTCCAATCAATAGAATCTCCATTCAATTGCTCCTCAATCCAACTATATTCAACTCCTGTTTTCTTTAATTCCTCAACAACTTGAAAAAATTCCTTGTGTACATTCCCAATCAAAAGATAAGGACTTGCACTAACAAGCTTAACAACAATAGACTGATCTATCCCAACCCCGTGAAAAGAAGCAAGCTTCAAGTCCAAAACTCCAGAATCATATCTAAAAATTTCTGGAGCTTCAGCAAAAATCCTTCCTATCTTATTTCTTGAAATACCATAATTACACAAGATGTGATAGTTATCAAGCAACCTATGATCATCATTCAAAAACATGAGATCTCTAGGAAGAAATGGCAAGTACTGACAAGGTTTCAGACCAATGCTCTCAAAGAATGGTTCAAATTCATTGATTGGATGATATCGCAAGAATCGAGTTAAAGAACGTCTAATATCATTTTCATTATCAATTCTTTGTAATAAGTTGGAAAGAAAAAAAGGTGAGTTTTTACTCATATGTTCAGCATCCATAAACTGCAAACTTCTAGTGGAATGCAAGTAGTCTAGCAAAACAGCTTGTGCTTCTTTCTTCACTGCACGAGGTATATGACATTCTTCTTCTTCTTCTTGTTTCAATTTAGGTTTTTTAGCAGATGCATAAAACCTAACCTTTTGGAAGGACCCAAAAATGGGTTTAGAATTGTTAAAAACATAACCCCATTTGAGAATGAATGGAGCTGTCAGCTTCTGCAAATGCTTCATCATCAATGGATACAGAAGGAGAAATCTCTCTATGATTTCAAGAAATTACTGGTTTGAGTTGCCAAAGTTCGCACAAAAGGGTTTTGCTGTTGTGCTGCTTTTAATTAGGGAGTCGGGGAAATGGTAGCCCTGTCAATAATCATAAGGTTTTTTTTTTCGATCACAGGATAATGATAAAGGTTTATTTTTAACTAGATGTTTTGGGTTCGAGGTCGGGGTACGTAGAAAATTTTATTGATAGTTGACACCAAGTGGAAAATAAATTTTTATTGCAATTTAAAATCACAAAAAAAATATACGTCTTTATAGTTAAACAAATTATTATATACTTTGATAATATATTTCATGAATATATATTATTTTGTCGTCTTCAAACTGGTATCAGTTCAAATTATTTCATGAATAAAATTATTTTATTTTGTGTTGTTTATGCTTTTTGTGAAAATAATAGAAGTTTTATCAGTAAGTTTGAAACTGAAAACTACTATGGTCAACATTTTCTCCTCTTTAAATAGGGAAATTTAAATGATTGTTATTGCATTTGCCTTCTCTCTCCACATGCTACCATTAAAGTTTGAAAAAATTAGAAAAATTCCACTTTTTAGTTTACTTATTATCATTATTCCCTGTAAATTTTATAAATCTCCAAAATCCTTTACTTTCGCGCATCAGATTAGTGTATCGGCGCTTATATTACTGTATATCGCGCATCAGATTAATGTATCAACGCTTATATTATTGTATCTCGTGCATCAGATTAATATATCAGCGCTTATATTATTATATCTCGCGCATGTATCAACGCTTATATTATTGTATCTCGCACATCAGATTAATGTATCAGCGCTTATATTATTGTATCCGTTTGAGGGATTTCTGTAATTATAAACATTTAAGAAATAAATTGTAATTTTACCTTAAAAGTATGTGATTTCTGTAATTTGACCTTAAAGTTTTCAAAGACAATTGAGGAGAAATTTTGGGCCGGGCTTTCACTTATAAAAGTTACAAGTAATAATGTGATGGGGTTCAAATTTGGTTTGATTGCAATTCCTTTTTCTTTTTTTTCCCTTTTCACTCTGGTTTTCATTTTTTTGAAATGGCACATGAAAAATACATCACATTGAAGAAAAGTACAATGCCAAAGATATTGAAAACATGAAATCTCAAATGTAAAAATACATATAAACAACAATAAATCAATCATTAGATTCTAAAGTTTACTAGTGTTTACCTTTATAACGATAAAACTGAATTTATAAATGCGATTTAAAAAATATATGGATTGAATTACCTAAATATGTGGTTTGTATATTATAAATTGCATAATAATCAATACTTATGAACAACGGAAAAAAATTACAAATATGAAATTGACATGAAATAATAAGTTACGTAAATAGAATGAGCCTGAATTCCAGTGCTAGAAGTTGTAGTGTCACCGAGCAAATTTGACGGTATTGGTAATTAACAAATCAACAAATAATAGAGCTTATGAGTTGAAGACAACAATGTATTGCTAATGAGTGAATGCGTCTCGAATTAGAATACGATCAGATGGTTTACAATGAGTAGATAGAATACTATTTTATAGCTTAACTTTGGGGAGTAATTTTTGTTGTTCTCGTCCTCATAAGTCCACTAACTCACATTTACTTCAGTTATGTAATGATTGGTGGAGATCTCGAATTTCTCCGTAACAGTTAGACCACCAACTTATCTCAAGCTTGTCATATTTGGTCATAGTCTGGTGTTTGATCTTGTTTTTTCGGGGTTAGACGGAATTCGTCGATATGACACTAATCATGACTGTCTTGACTTTGGATTTTTCAAGGTCAAGTTTACCCTTAATACTTACGTTATGAAAATATCATTTGATGTTATCCCAACTGAGTTACTTTTAACTTATTCTTCATGTCACGTGTTACTTCTTGATTTTCTAAGCTCAAGTCTAACTTTTACCCTGTCTCCCTACTTTTTGGGTAGTAAGACCATCTCCAACTCACTTCTATTTTACTCTTCATTCACTATATTTGGTAAAATAGAGAATTGAGACTCCAACCTCTCTCTAAAAAGCTCTCTATTCTCTATTTATAGAGAGGTGAATAATAGTTCTCCAAATTTTGGAGAATTACTATTCACCTCTCTATTTTCACTTTTTTTCATTTATTTTTAATATTATTTTCTACTATTTTGTAACTAACATATTATTTTTTCATATAAGGCTATTAATTAAATTTCTAATATTCGTATTTTTTTAAAATATAATATAACATTTTAAAAAATATATTATTTAGTATATACTACTTTCATCCCGAATTAACAATAATTTAAATATATTTTTTTTCAATTTTCGTCACTTTAAGAGATAATTTGATAATATTATTGATTTTCACCACAAAATTTAAATGATAAAATAAAAAATTTAATTTAAAAATACAATACATGACATAATAATTTAAATACAAGATAACAATACAACACATAATATAATTATTTTTAAAATCACAACAATAATTTAGTAATCCGGTAGGTCGTTTTCAGATTTAACAATATTCAGAAGAAAGATAGTGTATGATCTAGAGAATTGTTGTGTTTGTGATTGCGGTTGTGCTTGTTGATTTCTTTTTTCAATTTTTCGTAGTTGTTCTTTAAAATTTAGAATAAATATAATTTTATACTAAATAAAGAATTTTTAAAAATAAATTTTTTATATAACATGAAAATTATATAGGGTGATTATTTTTAAAAAAGAAAGAACGTGTTTATATTATGAAATAAAAAAATGAAATAGAAATGCAAATAATAATATACTATTGAGGAGAGAGAAAAAGATTTTTTTTTAGAGAATTGAGTTGGAGCTGGTTGTCTGAAAAAATAGAGAACTTTATATTTGGAGAGTAAAATAGAGTGTAGGATTGGAGATGCCCTTAGATATTTGAAACAATTGTTGACAAAAAAATAGATAAAAAGCAAAATTGAGTAACTTTAATGACCAAATTACTCCAAGTTAAAATGATCTTTCGACATTCTAACTCCCATATTTGGTAAATGAGATTTGACGTTAACAAAGAAGACGTTTGGTCACAAATAATGTATTGCATTTTCCAATAAAACAAAAACTAATTACTACTACACCGGACGTAGTTTTAGGCTTATTAGTGCATGTCATAGCATTATTCGTACCTTTGTAGTTCTTGTTGTATGTGGTGTATTGTGTTTTTAATTACGACACTATTTTGTTGTTATTGTTTGCTTCTCTCTTTTAGATGGTACCTTTTCTTATTAACAGTTATGATTTCTTCATTCTTTTTTTTTTTTACTGGGGTTCGATGCACTTGAGCTGATGGTTTTTTGGAACAACCTTTATACCTGTTCGAGGTACGGAGGTAGTGATAAAATTTGCGTACACTCTGGCCCTCCCCAAACCCCACTAAGTGGGATTTCACTAGGTATGTTATTTTTGTATGTTCAATTTATGTGGCATAATTAAATTTTAATTTACGAGCCAACTTGCATGCATCTCGATGAGTAAAATACCAGTGTGTAGCATTGGCCAATTTTATCTTTCTGGATGCTATTTTCTTGTTACAGAATTGATCTACCTGCAGTCCAAGTGATAGTAAAACTGATTTGTTGAGAGCAGCAGCTTGTGGGGGAGTGAATAGGGCTGGATAAACAAGAAACTTATACAAGGTCTCCAATATGGTAAACAATTTATTTTCTCCATACAAAAGGAGATAATAATGCGAAAAGTATATTTTCAAGGAATCCATTCAAAGTGAAATAAGAAGAAACCTACTAGATTACTCAAACTACAACAGGTTAGAATGATTAACACAAGGAGTTTGGCTCTACTTCAGCCGCAACCATAGGTGTTGAACAAGAACAACAAGGTTGCATTTATTCCGAAGCTATAAGCTCAAATCGTTCCTATGCCAAAACCATAAGCAAGCGCATGAGGATACATGAGTTGTGCCTTCAATTGAGGAACATAAAATATCTGGCCAAACTGCATGTCTGGGCGATCAACATACTTGAGCAGTCACAATCAGTATTAAATTTGGTCCAGCGAGTTCCAAATTCGGTCCATCTCGGGACCTTCATCTCCAAAAAGGATCTTGGTCTTCACTTGGAACCTCCCATGGCTTTCAATATGATCCTTGGTGTGAATGTCCTAGCTGGATCCCTATAAGAGATTAACATGACTTAATGAACTTAGTTGATGCCTCCTAAACTAAATGGATAAGAAACGGGAAACACATTTTAGGATCAGAAGAGTGTTAATAGTTAATACTTTGTCCTGAGATAATGAAATAGGATAACATAAGCAAGAAACACATGTTTTATTTTCAAACTGAATGCTACTTAGTAGAAAACAAAAAGAAGCATAGGGAATTCTGCATCCCGAAGTCATTTGCATTTATCACGTAATAGAAGAACCTGCATTATTTTACGCACTGATTTTTATATCACAACTATGCATAGCACAACTGACATCCTTTTCTCACAATACTTCTTTCATGTAGCATGTTTCATCAGATGCGTTGTGAAAGTTAACGATACGCTGGATGTTTGGAGACAAGTCCTAGAATCTAAAGGCTTCATGTTTAGCAGGACTAAAACAAATTACTTGGAGTGCAAGTTTAGTGACATAGTGCATAAGGCGGAGGTGGAAGTGAAGATCAATGCACAAGTCATACCCAAGAGAGGAAATTTCAAGTAGCTTGGGTCAACAATCCAAGGAGACGGAGAGATTGACGAGATGTCGCACATATTGGAGCGGATGATAAGAAAATGCCGTCAAGGCTTAAAGATAAGTTCTACAAAGTGGTGGTTAGACCAACATTTTTGCATGGAGAAGAGTATTTGTCAGTCAAGAACACAAACGTTCAGTAGATGAAGGTAGCGGATATGAGAATGCTCAAATGGATGTGTGAACATACTAAGAGAGATATGATTAGAAACGATTTTATATGGGTCAAAGTCGGAATGGCCTTTGTGGTGGACAAAATGAGGAAGTGAAACTGAGATCGTACGGGCATGCGAAGAGGAGGGGCACGGATGTGCCAGTAAGGAGGTGTGAGAGATTGGATATAATAGGAGTTAGGATAGGTAGAG